CCCTTCCCAAAAGATGTGCACATCCCAATCCCCAGAATGTGTGGATGTTTTCTTAGATGGCAAAAGGAACTTTAATGATGTAAATTAAAGATTTTGAGATGGAGAGATTAAAATCTCTCCTGGATTTTCTGGGTGCACCCAATGTAATAACAAGGATCCTTATAAAAGGGAGCAGGAGGATCGGAGTCGGAGAAGATGTGATAACTGACGCAGTGATCAGAGGGGTGGGACTGCTGGCTTTGAAGACAGAAAAGGGCCAAGGGCCAAGGAATGTGGGCGGTCTTTAGAAGCTGTAAAAGGCTCCTTGAGAACTTCCAGCAGAAACGCAGATCTGTCATCCCATTGGAGACTTCTGACCTCCAGCACTGGAAAATCATTACATTTGTTGTTTTAAGCCACTAAGTTTGTGGTAATTTGTTACCATGCAATAGGAAATTAATACAGCATGAAAAAAGGCTGCAGCAATGCCCAAGCTGTCCCCTCGAAACAGAACAAACCCTTTGATGTTTACCCTGCTGAAGAATAACTAGAACTGTGAGCCTTGGTTTAGCGTCTGACGACCCCACGGTGCGCTGCTGAGGGGAGCAGTTTAGGAGGCCGCATTCTGAGGCACGCCACCTCATTCTCCCGCCGACAGGATAGCCGAGCCCACTCACCTCTGCAGGAACCATCTCATTTAATCTTCGCAACAATCCTGATAGAGATAAAGAGAACTACTATTGTTATCTCCATTTTACAGGTGAGGAAACTGAGGCAAAGAGAGGTGAAGTATCTTTCCCAAGGTCATGCTTGTAATAAGTAGAAGATCCAAGATCCTGATGCAGATTCTTAACCACTATGCCATCTCTTAAACAAAAATTGTACTTTCACACTCTTTCATTAGTTTAAAAAATACTTGCTTGAACTATGGGATTAGATAATGAGTGTCAAAAACAGATTTAGGAACAAAACCAACCAAGATTTGTTATGCATTTAACAACATTTGTTAACTAGCGGGAACTGAAGTGCACAGGGGTCAAGAGCAGCCTGTTATCCTAGAGCTCAGTGTTATGATCTCTGAGGGTATGTCTCACGACGGACTGGAAAAATGTCAATCAATCTGGCAAGGCTAGTAAAATGAACATCTTCTGTGGTAGTATGTGAGAGCCGAACCAGAGAAAGCCCCAGAAGTCAGCCTGCAATTGCTATTAGGCCCATGGAAGCCATAGGACAATTGAAGCCATGAGTAAGGAGAAACTATGAGTAAACAAAAGCCAGGGTAGAGGCGGAGGTCATTTGCTCATTGTGACAGGAGCAATAGAAGCAGTAGGACCCTGGCTCAGGGAACAGGGTGCTCCTGCTGCTGAGGGGCTTCCTGACCCCTCTCATGCTCAGCAGGCCCAGCCGGGCTGCAGAGCCTGTTCTTCCTGTGGGGCCGGGCCACACAGGCGTTTCTCGGTTCCTGGGAACCAACTCGCACTCCACCCCAGGCAGCTGCAATTCTCGTCCCCCTTATTTCCATGTGTAACCTCATAATTAACTCCCCCTTGCCCAGGATATTTGGTTAGTCTCTGTTCTTTGCAACCCAGATAACTGAACTCCTTCTTCAACCCTGAGGAACTATGCCTGCTACCACAGTGGGCACCTCCCCGGGGCCCGGGATACATGTGCCCACCACAGTCCGGTCCCCTCTAGGGGATCGACTAGATAAATGTGGCCACATCCTTGCCTTGGAGATAACCTTCTTATAGATGTCGTGAAAACTATCTCCCTTCTTCCACCAAGTGGAGTGCAATAAAATCCATGTGGTATCAGCTCTCTTAATTACAGTCAAATGCCAGGCCTGTCTCCCTGAGGTTGGCATCAGATCCTCTTGATTAGAGTTGGATTCTGAGTTTTCCAAAAACCCTTCAATCACATCCAAGTCTGAGGTTCTGTCATTTCAAGAGGTGGCTGGGCCCACCTGTGACAACTTGATTTTTCTAAACTCCCCAGCATTTAAACATGTTCAAGTTTGGTCTTTTTTCAATTTTATTTTTTACCAGAATTCAAGATGAAAAATGTGTTTTATATGACAACCCAATACACATGTATATAAATATATTGAAAATAAAAGTTTTACCACACCCAAAGTTTTCTATTCTTTTTCTTTAAAAATGTTGGTCTTGACCCAATAGTTTATATTACAATGTTTCATGACCTGCACTTTGAAAATTATTGATCTAGTTTCTCCTTTCTTCAAAATTTCACTTCTCAAACACAGGTCTTTCTTTTCTTCTAACAGTCAAATGTCTCGAGAGAGTGGTCTGCTCTCTGCTTCCTCATCTCTCATTCACTCCTCAATTGACCATCTTTTGTCTCTGACGCTACCCTGCTCTGAAGCTGTCCTCGTTGAGGTCTCTTAACACCTTCCTTGTTGATAACCCCACATTTTCCAACTGTCGTCTCACCTGGGCTCCCAGCATCCTTTGACACGGCTAGCCACTCCCTCCTGAGAGCTTTCTCTTGCCTAGCTTCCTGGGGCCACACTCTCCTAGTTATCCTCCTACAGCTTGGCCTGTTCACCCTCAGGGTTCTCTTCCACTGCCTATGCCCAGAGCCTCCCCAAGGCCCTTCTCTTTTCTCACTTTATACACGGTTTTTGGTTGGTTTTATTTCTTCTCATGTGGGACACCTGACAGGTCCCGTGCCCCTTTCTCTTTGGCTCAATCTTTCTTCCTTGTATCCAGTACAAATCATAGGCCACTGACTCTGATGTAAAAGTTTACAAACTTGGGATTTTGCTCACTTGAAAACCTAGACATTTGAAACTCTAAAGCTTTTGTCTGCTTTCCAGCAATCATATATCTCCCGAGGTAATGAGTGCCACTGAGTGAAAGGGAGAGAAGGCCAGGTGTATAAAGAATGTATGTGGAGGGTGAGGGCAGTGGGAAGCCTGAGAAATATTTGCAACGGATCTTATGGTTGATTCCCAGCATCCCTTCCATGCCTGACGATTAGCCAAAGGCAGTCAGTGGCTTTCCCCTGGTAACTGTCATTGCTCCAGGAGTGAACACACTGATGACATTAGGCAGACAGCCTAAAGGAAAGGACTTGCATCTCATACCTGGGAGCAGGTTTTGTCTTTCCTCCACTGGATGTGAAGAGAGAAGTGTCATCCAGTAGCTGCTGGCAGCCATCTTAGGACCATGAGGAGAACCATCCCAAGGGCAAAGCTCCCTTCAAAGAAGGAAGGCTGAGCAGAGCCATGGAGAGAGTCTGGGTCCTTGATGACACTGTTGAACTGTTGGATCAACCAACCTCAGAGCCTGTCTACCTGTGGCTCCTTGTTACATGAGATATTTCTTTACTTTCTTTATTTTTTTTTAAATAAATGAGGTGATATGTTACTTGTAGCAGAAAAGCATCCTGATAGATTCAGCATCTCAAAATATCACACCCAAACTCCAGACCTGTGGATCCAACTGCCCGGCGGCCCTTCCTCTCAGCTGTTCCACGGCATCTCACACTCAGTAAGTCTAAAACTGACTGTTGTCTTGGGCCCTCACCCCTCCCTGCTCCAATCTCCCTCGTTTCTGTGAAAGTTCCCACCATCTGCCTGGTTGATCAAACCCAAAACTTGGCTGGTCTTGCCCTTCCCCTCACACTGCCAATCTCTGCTTAGGTGCTGCAGATTTCACCCCCTGAACGTTTCTCAAATCCGTCCTCTTCTCTGCCCACCATCATCTCACATGTTTCATGGCAACAGCTTCCGAACTGCTCCTCCATCTCCTTCTAATCGTTTCTGCACACCACAGCCAGCTGACCTTTCCAAAATGCAGGTCTGAATTCTTCACCCTCTTGATTAAAACCCTCAAGTCTCCTTCCCTTTTCTTTAGGCTAAATCTCTTAATATGGCATATAAGGCCCTCATTTCATCTTTCCAGCCTCAACACCATTCTTTCCTTTCTATTCTCTCCAGCATCATAGAACAACTTTCACTTTCCAAACTCCCTCCCTCTTACCTCCCACCTGATTTACCTGCCTGGAAAGCCCTCCTCCTCGCCCAGCTCACCTGACTGACCCCCGCTCATCCTTCAGGGCCCCGTGTGAGGGCGCCTCCTTGGGGAAGCCATCCCTACCATGCAAGGCTGCGTGCGTTAGGGGCTCCTCTTCATGCTCCCACCACACCGTCTCCTTATCCTGGTCATAGCACTCGTCGCCAAGTGGAATTCTCCACAGATTTGTCTATCTCTGCCACCCCAGGTTGTGACCCCCTTGGGAGCAGGGCTCCTGGCTTACTCCCTGCACCTAGCTCCATAATTGAGTGAAGAAGATCATTTTAAATTCAAAAGTAGACTTGGACTTGAAGGCAAGAGTAGGATGGAGCGGAGTTGAGGGCCAGCATAGAAGCAGACATTTTCAAGCAGGGGGAGGAGTGGTGGCAGCAGAATCTGATTTGCCGACTAAGAGTGTTGAATCGGTTTAGGTGGGTGGCAGGGCAAGGCCAGGGGAAAGAGACCATTGATGTAGATAATGTAACCCAGGCAAGAGATGATCGTGGCCTGGACTAGGGTGGTGGCAGTGGGGATGGAGAGAACCAGACAGAGTTTAGAAGTAGAATTAACAGAATGGGGGGGGGGGGGGGTGAAGGAAAGAAAGGGGTAGAAGATGAAGTGAGTTCTAATTTGGGCGACAGAGGTCCTCGTGGTGCCTCCTTCTAGAGCGAGGAATCCAGAAGGAAGAACCTGATTGCAGATGGTGGAGAGGGAGATGACGAGCTGTTTTGGACACATTGAGTTTGAGTGGCCTTTGGGACACCCAGCAGGCAGCGGGACACTCAGGGCTACAGATGGGGAAAAGAAGAAAAGAAAAGAACAGAGAGGTAGGAGAAAAACCAGAAGAGTAGATGGGAGTCATAGGTGCTGAGATCGTGGGAGCCAGAAAAGAAATGACTTGAGACAAGGGGAAAATACTGCTGAGTTTCCTCCCCATCTGGGTTGGCATCCCCACTTCCAGAGACACAAATGCACTGGACAGGGTTCTCTTGACAGCAGTTTTATTTGATTCAAAAGTGACACTCAGATGCTGGCCCACGCATGATCATGGGGTCATGTCAGGGGCACACTAGTCCTAGGGATCATTGGCGTCTTACCAGGATGAGAAAAGGGGTACATATAGATCATGTCTATGTGTCAGGGCAGGGACAGGCCCAGCTACAGCTGCTGGGTAGGGCTTGGCCAGGGAAGGGGTGACTGGTGTCATCCCCAAGACACATGCAGAGGGAGAGGAGACTAATTCAGGACTGGCGTCAGGGTTCAGGCTTAGAGGAGGCCTAGGGAAGGGTCAGGGAGCTCTGGACCAACGGGTTCAGTAGCTGTGAGTAGAAGACTTGTCCAGCTCACTACGCTGCTCCTTCTGGGACTCTGTCACCACCTGCTGGGGGCAAGGCATGTGAAGGGCACAAACCATTCAGCACCACCCTCCTTCCAGCTCCTTTGGGGCACTGTGTCCCCCTCCCTGGCATAACCAGCTGAGCCTCCAGTCTCTCCATCCACCTTCTCTACCTCCCTCTCTCCCTCCCACCCCAAGAACCACTAACCTACAATACCCTAACGTCAGCTGCAGCCTGGCTGGGGCTCAGAAATAATATGGGAAACGATAGGGTCCCGGGCTCAAGTGACCCATCTTACCTCCCCATTCCGGGTCTCAATGGTCTTGATGAGAACCATCTTCCGGCTGTCCTGGGGAGGTTCCACCTCAGGCACTGGAAAAAGCACAATGAGGCGTGGAAGGGAGGAGGCTTGGGTTTTCTCACTCTGTCTTAGAGAGGAAGGGATAGGAGGGGAGGGGAGGACCAGGGCATGAGGAGCAGGAGCGAGTGTAGACCAGGGCTCAGTAGTTCTAGGAGAGAAACGATCTCTGAGCTGAGCCATAGCAAGAGTCAGGTCAGGGCAGAAGTGGACAAGGGGCCGGGCAGGTTGGAAGCCAGGCGTGGGGGACTCACCAGTCGTCTTTATACTTAAGGATGCAAAGGAATGGACTGGCACGGAGATCCTGCGAGCGAAGCAAGTGGTCGGCGACTCGGCCCGGGCCCCTAGCCTTCCCACTACGCCGTCCCAACCACGCCCTACCCACCTCCCAGCAGCCCCGCCCCTCACCGGCTCTCCTCGCCCTCCAGCAGCTTCCGGTAGGTGGCGATCTCGATGTCCAGGGCCATCTTGACGTTGAGGAGCTCCTGGTACTCGCGCAGGTGCCGCGCCATCTCCTCCTTTAGCTGCCGCAGCTCTTCCTCGAGGCGCGCGGCGCCCGCCTGGTACCCCCCGGCCTCCAGGGCAAACTGCTCCTCCAGCTCCCGCAGCTGTCTGAGCAGCGCCTCGTTCTGGGGGAAGAGGGGGTCAGTGGGGGAACAGTCTTCATCGTCCAGCCCTCCGGGCCCGGGCGCGCAGCCTGGTACTCACGGTGCCGCGCAGCCCGTCCACCTCGCACGTCAGGCTCTGGATCTGGCGTCGGGACTCGTTCATCTCCTGCTTGGCCTGGCGCAGGGCCTCGTGGTTCCGGTTGGCAGCGTCGGACAGGTCCGCATACTGCGGGGTGGGGGGGCAACCCGGCTGTGAGAGGACCGGACGCGCCCTCCTCGCAGCACCCCACCCTCCCAGGACCTCCCAGACCCTCCTGGGCTCTCGTACCTTGGACTTGTACCACTCCTCTGCCTCCTGCAGGTTCTTCGCCGCGATGCTCTCGTACTGCGCTCGGATGTCCCTCAGCGCCGCCGTCAGCTCCGGCTTCACGGTCGCCTCCACCTCGACCTGCTGCACCTGCTGGCTCTCCACGCTCACCTGCAGGTCTCGCAGCTCCTGCCGCCCAGGGCAACCAGACGTCGAGTTCCGGGGGCAGATGCCATGTGGGCCGCGCAGTTCGCGCACAGAAAAGAGAAGAAACACTTGAGTGAGAACAGAAGGGGGCGCCAGGGAGTGCGGCGCGGGTAGGACTGCGCGCCCGCGCCCCGCCAGCGCCGAGCCAGCCGCCAGGTTACGCTGCTGGCCACCAGGTGGCGCAGGGGTGGGAGTCAAACCACCTGTAGATGGGGGTTGAGGGGCTGCGTCTACCCAGCAAATCTCGCTTCTCTTCCTCAGGGCGATTTCTCCGCTCCACCCGCCAGTCTCCTCCAGAGCTTGTCCCCCAGCTCCCAGGAGACCACCTCCAACTTCCGAAGCCTTCCCTGACCGCGGGTCCACGCACCTCCTCGTGCAGCTTCTTGAGGAACTCAATCTCATCCATCAGAGACTCAATCTTGCGCTCTAACTCCAGGCGGGACAGGGTGGCGTCGTCCACGTCCTTCACGGGGTGGCAGTGAGGATTCAAGAGCAGGGAGGGGCTGCTCAGGCCGAGGAAGGGCCAGCCCCTCCCTGTCGGCCTCTGGAGGCATTTGGTCGTCTCCCTGTGCCCACAGATGCCACCCTGGATCCGCAGGCTGGGGATAGGGGAGGGAAGGCGGAGCACGACATGGGGCCTGGGCTCACCTTGCGAAAGAGCACGAGGTTGTGCTCCGCGTCCTCCCGCTTGCGCGTCTCCTCCTCCAGCCTGGCGGGAAGAGTGAGCAGAGGCTGAGCTGCTGGGTGGCCGCCAGCTCTCAGAGGGGCGCCCCCCAGGATCTGGGCTCGAGGCTGCTGCTGCCCAGGACTCTGAGGAGGGGTCTTGAGGCTGCCTGATGGAATTGCCCCCGTTTTCTCTCTAACAGGCTGGGAGCGAGATGGAGCCCCTTTATATACAGGGAGGGGTCCCTTTCTCGCCTCCCCAGAGACTCAGTCAAGTGGTAGAGGGAGGGCGGGGGGGGGGGGCTTGGAGCCCGCGGGCGAGGATGCTGCCTGCACCCGCTCGGGTTGGCAAGGGGAGCCACTCCTTCGGGCGCTGGTGGGGACGGGAGGGGAGGGAGGAGCAGCTGCCTCGACGGCCACCGCCCAGCCCGGGCCCTGCCCCCTGACCTCTGCTTGAGCGCCGCCAGATCCTCCGCCAGCCCGTCGCGCTCCACCTGCACCCGGTCGCGCTCGCGGCCCAGCAGCTCCAGCTCCCTCCGCAGCTCGCGCAGCTCCTGCTGGCACAGCTGGTCGGCGCGCGCCTGCTCCTGGCCGCGGGCCTGGCTCAGCTCCCCGCGCAAGGCCGCGTTCTGCTGCTCCAGGAAGCGCACCTTCTCGATGAAGTTGGCGAAGCGGTCGTTGAGCTCCTGCAGCTCTTGCTTCTCGTTGCTGCGCGTGGCCAGGAACTCCTGGTTGAGAGCCTCGGCCATGGAGAAGTCGAGGCGCTCCGAGGGCAAGCGCAGGAGAGCGCCCGCGCCCGCCCGCGGACCGCGGAAGCTGCCCAAGCGCACGGAGGAGCTGGGCGACGCGGAGCCCAGCAAGCGGCTGCTCGAGAAGCGGGAGCTGGACGAGTAGGAGAAGGCCCCAGGGGACAGGGAGGGCGGTGGCCCGAAGGTGCGGCGGTATGAGGTGGAACTGACGCTGGCCCGGAGGCCCGACGGGTGGCTCATGGCGGCCGAGGATGGGCAGTCACCGCTGGCAGGGCTGGTCCAGAGCTGGGAAGGAGCCGCAGACCCAGACCGCTGCGAGGCGGCTTTATAGCTAGCCCTGCGGGCTCAGGGGGGGCACGGGCAGCTCCTCCCACTGGCCTGATGGCGGGGCTATGTGGGGAGGGGGACGCCCCACCCCTGCGGAGCAGCAGAAGCACCGCACCCTCCCTCCCGGGTTGCTGGCGCCCTGCCTGCTTGATTCCCCCTGTTGTTGGCTGGGAAGAAAGCAGGGATGACGACCACAGACGGGTCGGGGCCGGGGCTCAGCGCCTTCCTGCAAAGCATCCAGCGCAGGAGCCTAGAATGTGAGGGCCTGACTGGAGCTGGGGTCCCTGCCTGAAAGAGCTGGTAAAAATTGGGGGATAGGAGGACTGGAGGTTACAGGGCAGGCTTCTGGCACATCAGTAGGGAGGAGGTGGCCCAGATGGATGGAGAGTTGTCTTGGTTTAGGCCCAAGAGCCTGTGCCTCCACTTGTCCCCTGAAGGCTAGGCTCTGCCTTCACCTGCTGTCAGCTACCCTCTCCATCGCCACACCCAGGGCGAGATGGGGGGCAGGAGGGCAGAGGCAGCTGAGGGGGTGGGGAAGGGCTGATCTCTCCGTAATCCCCAGGGCCCTGTGGAGGGCTGTTGCCTGGCGCCGGCTCTGCTGCTAATGGACTGGCCCTTTCCCCTCCCCCTCTCCTGGACATTTGGCCAGGGGGTTGCCTGCTGATGTCTCAGCCTTAAAGACACAGCTCCCAAACCTGGACCTTCACCCGACCTCAACAGGGTGGGCACATGGGAGGGGTCTGAGGGTGACTGGGCCCAGCTCTGGGTCCCACTTGGGAAGGTCTGTGCCCTGCCAGGGGCTGAGCCGAGTGAGCTGGTTATACGCTGTCTGGCTTTACTGGACTTTTCCCTTCCCCCAACCAACTGCTGCTCAGTCACGGGCCTTACAGGAACCAGGGTGATTCCTGAGGTAGGAAGGGGAGGGGGCTGAGGAGTGGCAGCTGCTGCCAAGGCTGAGAGATGGAGGGACTGGCAGGAACCGGTTTCTACTATTGAGGAGTTACAGGTACCCAGGGATGGGTAGGGCTGGATGGGGAAGAGATGGGGACGGAGAAGGTGTCCATCCCCAACGGTCCAGGGACTGAAAGAGGAGAGAGAAGGCCACAGGACAGGTCCACAAGCCCATGCACACAGATGCATAGGTACACCTATGTGTACACACACACACACACACACAACCACATATCCCTTCCTACCCTCCCCCACCCGGGAGTTAGCGGAAGTCTAATGTCTGGCCTTTGCGTGTCAAACGGCTTCCAGAACACAGGCACAGGCTGCCCAGGACTGGACAGGGGCAGCTCGGATGGTCTGCAGGAGCCGGGGTGCTGAGGCCTGTTGGGTTTTCCAGAAGCCATGGGGCTGCTGCTGCCGGGGACTCCAGGGCTCTCCAGCAGGGACAGGCGGACCTGTCCCTGAGGACGAGAGCTGGGCGACTGGGGATGCCTGTTTGGAAGTCCGGCTGGATCTCTGGCTGAGGGGGTGAGGAGGGCGGCTCCCTGGCCGGCCAGCTCCTCGGCATTGCAGGGCAGAGGAGCCTCCCCCGCTTTGTGCGGCCTCTGAGATGGGCCAACGCCCACGGCTCACTTCCCTACCGCCTTCATCTCTCCAGGCCCCTCCTTCCTTCCGGGCCATTAGTCTCTCCCTGCACAGCTGCCAGGTCCTTCTCCTTGATGGGTCTGGTTTGGTTGCCAGGGGAATGGGAAGAAGGAGGACAGGAGAGAAGGGATGGGATGGATAAGCCAGGACTTGTCCCCCCTAACTCCCGGGATGGTGGAGGGGGAGGGTCCTGCCTAGGCTGTGGGTGGGGGGCTTGACAGGTGTAAGAGAGGGCTGGGGAAAGCTTGGTGCTTTCTGCCACAGCCCTGGGCTTCTGAGCTCCAGCTGCCATTGGCCTAGAGCCCCAGGGACCCCAGCCGAGGCCCTGCCCGGCCCCTGCCTGCTGTCCTCCAGAAGCAAACTGGGAGTTTGAGCTGGTGCCACACACGAAGAGGCAGGCAAGTCCTGTGGAGGACCAGCTCAGGCCCTGTCTTTATAGGAGCTGCTGGTAATCCTGGGCCTTTGAGAGTGGAGGCCCCTGCCTGGGCCTGGGGAGTTCCAGGTGGGGTGTCCCCCACCCTCCCTGTTTAAGCTCCCAGCTCCCAGCCCAGATGCCCCAGAGGGCAGGGGACCAGGGCCTGCTCAGCAGGGCTCTGGGAGCTGTGGAGGGAGTTAGGCTGGGGCTGGGAGTGGGGGGACCAGGCCTGCTGGCAAGGCAGAGACTCCCCCCCTTACTCAGAAAGAGCCAGGCCTGGCAGATCTGGGGGCTGGAAGAAGGATAGGAAAGGGTCATGGTTGGGAGCCAGGGCTCTGGCATCCAGCTGCGGAGCTTCCCGTCTGACTCCAAAACTCTCTATTGTATGAATTTAGGCTCATTACTGTGTCCTTCCATGTCCTTCAGTAAAAGGGGGTAATTGTAGCTTCTGCCTCATAGTGTTGTTGGGAGGATTAAATGGATAAATACGTGTAAAATACTTAGGACACACATAACAAAGGCTGAAAATATAAGCTAATTTTTTTATTATCCCTACTATATTATTGTTGTTGTTATTAATTTCCAGCTCCCGAGTGCAGTGAGGAGCTGGACCGCTTTTGGATTGTCCTCACTAGTGGCTGAGAGTAGTGCTGGACCCAGGGTGGAAGGGGGCAGGGACCTCCCGGCTGATGGAGGGAGGGGATGCTGGCCGCATCCTTTCTCTGTCCTGGGCAAATAGTGTATCAATCAAGACATGCACTCTGGACGGACGGCCTGGGTGCCAGCACGGCCCCTCAGCTTAGTTAGCGGGATGCTCCGGGTTTGGGAGAGGGATTTAGCCTCCATTCACCCCATTTTCTTTATCCATAAGTGGGGATGATAATAACAGTATCATAGAACTGGAGGATTGAATGAGTTACAAGATGTGAAGCACTTCGTGTGTGGCACACAGTCCACCCGTAGAAGGATTGGCCACTGTTAATATTGCCCCTCCTCCTCTGCCGCCCCGGCTGCTCTGGTGAAGACTTGGAGAGAAATGACAATTGGACACATTCGGAGGTTTGCCAGGCAGGTGAGCATTGAATTTTAGGTTATTGACAAGAGTGCTACCAGATGACGGGCCACAGACTCAAAGCTGGATGAGGAGGGGTGTGTGGGCAAGAGAGGGTGGGAGATTGGCAGAGTAAAGACTGGATTCTTGATAGGATTCCAAGGGCATTTCTAAGGGAGTGGGATTTGAGGCTAAGGTGGAATGGAGGGAAAGGTCATGGGAGACGAGATCAGGCTGCCACGGGCACTTACTTGCTGTGTGACCCTGGGCAAGTTACTTGTCCTCTCTGAGCCTCAGTTTCTTGGTCTACAAAACAGGGATGATGACACCTCCTCTCAGGGGTGTTGTGAGATTTAATAATAGTACTATTTAGTAATAGTACTATTACTATTCCCATTTTACAGTTGAATAAACTGAGGCACAGAGAGTTTTGGCAACTTGCCCAAGGTCACACACATAGTAAACCAGTAATATGTTTACATGTTTCCTCCCCACTCCTCCGGATAATATGATCAGGTCTTATTTGCCTTTGTGTTGGTGGTGTCTAGCACAGGACCCAGGTCAGATAAATGTTGGTTAAACTGGAGGCAACCCTGAGGCACTTAAAAAAAATCTTTCCCATGGTTGTCAGTCTGGAAAATATAGAGATATATTGCTGCCACCTTCTGGCAAGAAGTTGGAATGACATGTCTGCAGTCTGAACACATCTGCGACTCAAGGCTCATGAAAGGTTGGAATTTGGGAGGTGCTTCAAAATTAGTTATTATGACCACCTTTTTACAGATGAGGAGTATTATCCTAGGGTGTGTGAAATAGAAAAGCATCACTAGTATTAGGAGTTCATAGCCCTGATTTCATTCTTCCCCTGGACGCTAGGAGCCTCCTCTGTCCCCCCAGAAGCCAAAAGCCAGAGAAGGAGGCAAAATCCGCCCCCAACACCACCACCCCAACTGTGTCCACAATCTCCAGTCTTGCCCTCATTATAACATCGCAACTCCATCTGCCTGCCTGACCCTTCCAACCAGCTACACGTCAAGTGGAGAACCGGAGAGTAGCTTACAGCCACAGAATGCTAAGTGAATCTCCCTTCTCATGGTGTGGCCTGGGGACCTGACTCAGAGTCACCCGCGGGCCTGTTAAAAGGCAGATCCCAGTGCTCCACTCAGATCTTCTGACTCTGTAGAATCTGCATTTTAACAGACTTCCTACATGATTTTTAATGCACATGAAAATTTGAGGATACCTGGATTAAGATTCTTTTTTTTAAATTGTCCATCTTTTCCCCATTTTATTTCGAAGATTTTCAAAGCCAGAGGACAGTTGAAAAAATGCTCCTATGAACACTAATACACCCTTCTCCCAGATTTACTGATTGTTGATATTTTGCCACAATTCCTTTGAAAGTCAGTTTCAGACATCATGATATTTCACCGCTAAATACCTCAGCACGCACCTCCTAAGAACAAGGACACTTTCCTACATAACCACAGTAGTATTAATGCACTCAAGAAATTTAACATTGGTACAACATTCTCTCATACACAGTCCGTATTGAAATCCCCCAACTGTCCCAATAATGCCTTCATAGCTATCTCCCCCGAAATCCAGGATTATGTTCAGTTGTCCCCTAGCAGAGACAGGAGCCAGAGCACAGGGGTGAGGCTGGGATGAGTTTGGCAGGTTTGAGGAATTGGAGACAGCGGGTGAGGTGGGCGGGGAGGAGAGAGGGAAAGGTGAGCTTAGAGGAGTGGACGGAGTCAGAGCATGTGGGGCTTTGTAAATCAGAGTACAGAGCTGATGGCTTATTTTAAATGCCATGAGAAGCCATTGGAGGGTTTTAAGCAGGAGAATGACTTGGTCTGATTTATGACTTTAAAAGGTCAATCTGAAGACAATTTCAGAATTGGGACCGTCTATAAGACAATGATTCCTAGACTCTTTAAGAAGTCAATGTCTTTTTTTGTGTGCGTGTGAGGAATATTGGCCCTGAGCTAATATCTGTGCCAATCTTCTTCTATTTTGTATGTGAGATGCTGCCACAGTGTGGCATGAAGAGCAGTGTGTAGGTCTGTGCCCAGGATCTGAACCCGTGAACCCTGGGCCACTGAAGCAGAGTTTGCGAACTTAACCACTATACCACTGGGCCAGCCCCTCACTTCTTTTTAAATATAATGCAAATCACTGGGAAAAATAATGAAACATTTCCCCTTCCCCATATTGTAAGATCATATATTAGAGAACAATGAAGCCTCAGTGAGGACAGCCTGACTAGGGCCGAAGAGGGGAAGCTGTGGGAGTCCTAAGTAGGTGGGTCTGGTTTATGGAGGGTGGGAAAGCCTGGCAGAGGTGTTTACACTTGAGATGTCTCATGTTCAAGGAAAGAGCACCTCACCCAAACCGAGAAACCTGGTCCCAGGCTGGGGCCAGCCACTGGGCTTTCTTTCCTCACTGGTAAAATGAAGAGGTTGGATGAAATCATTTCTGACATTCTTTCCAGGCACAGAGATTGTTGAGTAGGGCACTGGGTCATAACAGGAGCTTTTATTTATTTTTTTGAAGATTGGCACCTGAGCTAACATCTGTGGCCAATCTTCCCTTTTTTCCCCCTTCTCCTCCCCGAAGCCCCCCAGTGCGTAGTTGTATATTCTAGTTGTGGGTCCTTCTGGCTGTGCTATGTGGGACGCTTCCTCAGCATGGCCTCATGAGCAGTGCCACGTCTGTGCCCAGGATCCAAACTGGTGAAACCCTGAGCTGCTGAAGCGGAGCGTGTGAACTCAACCACTCGGCCATGGGGCCGGCCCCAGAAGCATTCATTAAAGGTCATGGTGGGTCTCAGAGCACCGCCCCCAAGGAGCTGTAAGCTCTTCCTTCACGGGGTGATGCTCCAAGATCCTCCGGGTGGAATGAGCAGCAGTCCCTATGCAGAGAGGGGCAGGGGAGGGGGAGGCAGGGCAACTGGTCTCGGGGTGGTGCCCGAGCTGGAACATACACAGGACGTCATCCGCAGCTGAAGGGTCCATTTGCAGAGCAGCCCATGGCCAGGTAGTCTATGGAGGGCAGTGGCTTCATCCCCCACCCCCAACTCTGTTTACTGGGGTTGCCCAAGAGAAGGTGCAGACTTTATGCAGGCCCACTTGGCAGACTCCCTCCCTCCACACACCTTCCACGCACCCCTCAGCCTGGAATCCCAGAAAGTTAGAGCCCCTGGGAAACTCTGGGATCACTCAGGCCTCCTAGTCCCCATTTTCCTAATGAAATGCTGAGATGGGAGGCAGTCCTGACAATTCCATGGGCTGTGAGGACATTTAGCCCTGGCTCTGGCCCCTGCTAGAGGAGCCCTGGTCACCCCTCCCTACCCCGGCAGGGGCTTGAGCACATGTATGTGCCTGAGATGAGGAAGGACGGGGGCTCCTGCCCATCAGGCCAGCTGCCAAGAGGCTCTTTTCTGGAATTGTGACACTCTGCCATCCATCTCACCCCACCTCCTGCAGGGAGAGGCCAGGAAGAGCTGAACAGACAGGTTCAGAGTCCGAGGCCCTACAATCTGCCCTGCCTGCCCTCTGCCTGCCGGTCTCGCAGGTGCTCATGACACCTGGGCCCACTGGCTGTGAGCATCCAGCTTCTGGAGCCCATGGATCTCCCAGCCAGCGAGGGCCGACTGTCAGTGTCTGTTAGACGTTCCCTCCCTCTCCGGGGGCATTCTCTCTGCACACACTGCTGTGCTGGCCCCAGGCTGGAGGGAAGGGAGTTGATGGAGGAATTGGAGGTGGGGAAGGGGGGAGATGCATGGGAGAGAGAGGGGAGGGAGAAATGGAAGCGGAGGGAGGAGCGATGAGGGCAGGGGTAGAAAGGAGAGAAGGGAGAAAGAGTAGAGGAAACTGCACGGGCCAGAAAAGGAGAACAAGCCTCTCAGGGACCCAAGGACCAGCCCCCCCCAACAGGGAACCACCAGTTGAGTGATCCCTCTTCACACCCTGGAGCCTCCAGAATCTGCTCCCGTCCTTGTCCCAAGACTTCCCCGGCACCAACCCCTTGTCTCCAAGGGCAGCTCAAAGCTCTCTAGATTTGGGGCTGCCCTGGGCTCAGGCCCCTTCTGGCTAGGCTTCCGGGGAAGAGATGACTTCCAGAGTGGGCCTGCTTGCTCGACCATACCTCTGCAGGTCAGACCAGGGCTCCATCACAGTTACATATCAAAGGGAAGAAGGTACACTCTTCAGGCCTCTGTGTGCTTTCAATTTATGGTTTAAGTTCGGCCAAGTCTCCTGGAAAGACTGAAAGGAAAAAGCAGATCAGTTTGGTTGACCTGAAACTGCAGGGAGAGGAAGGCCAAAAACTGAGGATAGGAAGGAGAGAATGGAGTCTTTGCTCTCCCAGGGCAATGTTTGCACGGGAAAGGAAGTTATACAGTTCTCAATAGGTCTTAATTGTTTTCTTATTATTTTCCTAAAAGTTTCTATGGCATAAGGCTCTTATATGAGTTAGAATGGTTTTGGCAGGAAGCAATGGAAGACCCTACTCAAAATGTCCCAAACAATAAGGGGATTTATAATCCCACATAATAAAAAACCCAGGGGCAGAGAAGTTACAGGGCTGGTTAATTCAAAGGCTCAACATCCTAGCAAGGACCCAGGTTCTCCGCATCTTTCTGCTCTGTCATGCTCAGAGCATCAGCTTTTGTCCTAACGTTTGTTCCCTCGTGGTCATAAGATGGCTGCAGCCACTTCAAGTATCAGGTGCTCACAAAATAATGTCAAAGGTTCCAGAGAGGAAATGCTTTCCCTTCGTTTCTTTTTAAGAGCAAGGAAATTTTTCCCTGGAACATCTTCTCCCCAACCCCCACCAGCAGACATGATCTCACCTCTCATTTCCATAATTGCATCACATGCTGGTTCCATTAACCAATCCCCGCCAGAGAACTGGAATTACCTGGATCAGCGAGGACTAAGACTCACCCTAGGGGTGGAGGGGCCCAGCCTCCCCCTGCCCAACGCCTGAGCACTACTGGGCTGCGCTGGCAGGTAGAACAACCCACGGGGATGGCTTGGGGTAGCGACGCAACATGTGACAGCCTCTTCTGACATGTGGCATATACTGCCTTGAGTTTGCCTGTGTGATCTGTCTCTGCAGACTGAGGGGGACAAAAAAGCTAAACAAATTCCCTATAGTACCCAACACAGGGGCTTGCACCAAATAGGTTTTCCAAAAATAATGAATTAAACTTAAAAACTGAAATGGCTGTTAAAATAGTATAGTTGGACATGATTACCTTTGCCAGGGGCATTTCAGTATCGGTTTACTGCCAGGCTAGACATCTCCTGTGAGTCGATGAGATATTTGATAAGAGCAGAGTGTGGGGAAGGAAGGAGGGGCAGCAGTGGGATGGTATTTAATATTTATCCCCCCGCCCAGTGGATTAAACTAATTTGAGAATGTAGACAAAACTCTTGCGTAATTAGGAAAGCTTTATATTCTGTTCTTATTTTTAAAAGAGAGAGAGAGAGAAAGTCTTCTGGTGTGAGATAAGTGGTTAAAAGTATTTTCTATCTTATGACTAGAAGAGACGTCTCTAGGTCTGTGAGGGTCATCGCTGCTGAGTATTTCTCCTGCTGCAGATTCCGACGGACTGTGAGAGAAGAAAGAACTGTTGTCCCAGAACCTGCTCAGGGCTGACAAACTCAGGGACACCAGGCTCTTGGAATGAACGGGGCAGTGACAGGCTAATGAGATGTCAGCAGAGGGGACTTTCTGCACAGGGCTGAAGGTGGGAACCTCTCCCAGCCCCACAACCCCAACACATCAGGTCTATTCTCTCTACACCTTCTGCTGCCCTGGGTCTCCTAGACAGCTGCCCTGGCATCAGGCTCTAGGAGCCATCTCTGCCAGCTTCACCTTGTGGCCTTGGCTGACACGAGCTGACCATCCTGGCCCCTTGTGCTTAGGGGTGCGATGCTCCAGGTGTGAGCTGTCCTGTCTGCACTGTGGCTGGTGTCTTGTCAGCAGGAGTCCAGGCAGGTGGTAGCAGCTACTCTGCAAGGACACCATAAATCTATGAGCTGAGAATTGATTCAGAGTTCAGACAGAGGCCTGGACAAAAACGCTCCTCACTAGGGAAGCCACAGGCTTGGATAGGGCGGACCAGCTGGCTTTGCCCATCTGGACCAGCATGCTGCCTCCCGGGCCCAGGAATGAGGCTCCTGGGAGATGATCTGACAATGAATGGTATAACGAGATCTCCCTTCTGTGGTGGTGGCTCCATCCAGTGGTCCACGCAAGGGCTGGCTCCTGTGGGCCTCCTGCCTGACATGGCCCGGGACGTGGCCCTTCTTCCCCAGGATGGAAAGGCTGCCAGGTGCGGCGACGACTTCCTCTGGTGCTCCTTGGAGGCTGCTCGGTAGAATGGAGTGAGCACAGGCTTTGGAGTCAGAGTTCTGGGGTCAAATTTCAATTTGCCCACTTGCTCTGTAGCCTTAGGCTGGACACTTAATCTCTCCACGCTTCAACTTCCCCAGCTGTGGAAATGGATACAATAGCATCACCTCGCAGGGTGTTGTGGAGATCAAGAAACACCCAAGACATGAAAGCCCCCATTCCTCCCACAACCCCACTCAGGGCTGCCACACACACCTTCCACAAGTTGGAGGCCTGAAGACAGAGCCATTTGCCAGCTGCTTCCCAAACACTCAGGATGGCAGGTAGACAGGACAGCACAGCAGCCCCTCACAGCCAGTTTCTCCTTCTCACCCCAGCTCACAGCAGCTCTGCCTGCGCCCCGGGGCCCTCAGTGGCCGGCAGCCTCCATAGGGTGGAAGATGGTCGCTCCAGTCAGGTCAAGTGAGGGCAGCCTAAGCGCTCTGTCTGCTGAGCCAGAATCTGGGGCCACAGCCAGTCTCAGAGCCTGCAGCCTCTTAGGCTTTCTCCATTTATCCCCATCAAGCATC